CGGGAGAAGGCTCCAGGCAGTGGCCAGGTTGAGTCCCTGCCACTCACCTGTCCTGTGACCTTGGACAAGTCATCCCACCGTGAAGTGCCTCAGATTCCAAGCCCTCCGCTGCCGAGAGGGGGGTGGGCCCTTTCCCTGGACAGGAAGCAGGGAGCACACCCGAGAGGACTGCGGTGTGGGGAGGCCCTGGGACCCCAGGAACCACCGTGCGTCTTCCATACCTCATATCCCAGCCTTGGGCGACAGAAACACTGGCAAGTCCAGAGCCTGCTCTCGGCCAAGAGCAGGACAGGCTCGCCCTGGGAGAGAAGACTCCAGCCAGACACCCCAGGAAACACTGGCCCCGCCCCGCGTCCACGGGTGGGTGTGAGACCTCCACCACCTGACAGTCCTCGGACACTTCCTCCCCCTGCGGGAGGTGCCGGTGGTGGAGGCCAGGCGGGCATAACGAGGTTCTCCTGCTCCCAGCCAGGGAGCACTGGGAAGCGTGGCAGGATGGACGTAGCACCGTGCCTGTCCCAGAATGCACCTGGGTGCAACTTGTGGGCTGGCTGATGCACAGAGAGATCGGTGCCCGTGAAGGGAGCCTGCTGTTCCAGGTTCCCTGGAAACGGCCACGGCGCCCCCGAACGGGAAGCGGCAGCAGGGGAGGCGGGGGGGAAAGGGGCTGGGCTGTTGTCACTGGTGGGGTGGCCAGCTGGAGACGTTGGTTGGGCAGGAAGTGAAGCAGAGGTCGGGGTTTGTGGTTAGAGGGTTGAAAGGTGACTTTGTGCACCCACGAAAGCTGGGCTGCCAGGGACATGCAAATAGCTTGGGCCATCAACAGATGCCAGATAACCAATGCAAAATCTATAAAGATGGTTAGAACAGCGCCCCTTACTCTCCCAGAGCCCTGTCAGGGGCAGCTAAGAGAGGACTGAAATGGGATCCAGTCTCATAACGTCATACTCCACACGCCCGGGCTCCAATAGGAAGCTGCTCCTCATGCCCAGGTACAGTCCAGCACGGAAAACTCAGTGGTGGGCCCTCCAGTAGGATGGACAGGACAAAATACAGGCTCCGTGAACAAGGGAAGTTGTAGAATTTAACATGTGAACAACAGAGGACAGTGAGAAAGGATCAGAGCCTCCGGGACCTGTGGGCTGTTGCAGAACTAAGATATGTCGTGGGGGCTCCGGGAAGAGAAGGGACAGGGCAGAGCTGGAAAAGTGCTCAAAGAAGTCATGGCTGGACACTTCCCCAAGTCCTTCAATTCTACGAACGTAAGCAACCGAGGGAACCGCGGACCCAAAGCAACCCACACCCTGCAGGACATGTCGCCGTCAAACTAATGAGCCTTCAAGGACAAAAGTAATTTGAAAGTAATGAGAGCGAACAGCATCTTGCCTGCCGGACAAAGAATACAGAATGTCAGCCCACAGTTCTGTGTCCAGCAACGTTCCCTGTTGGGCGAAGAGGAAGTCAGACCTCACAAGAGGGAAAGCTACCGTGTGTCCCCAGCAGGCATGTCCTCCAAGACCCTGACGGAGGTTTTCGAAGCAGGAAGTGATGGGAGGGCCTGGAACACCAGGAAGGAACGTCAGATCAGTCCAGCAGGCTCTCCTCGCGTGTCTCCCGAACGACGTTCGATGGTCAAAGCACAAGGCATGGCGCCGTGGCGTGGGGCTCTCCGTGTGCGAGTGGAAGAGGGAGCTTCCTCCAGTTCACCTGGACGGTCACGCAGGTGTGGTGCCCGCGTGGCCACAGGTGTGGGCTGGCTCAGGCAGCAAGGACACGCCTCGGCGGCCGGGCAGTGCGGCTCCTTAAAGTGCCGCCAGTGAAGGGCCTGTGCAGAATCAGCTGCCGGGCTCTGGGATTTTGTTTGTTTGAATTTATTTTTTTAATGATTTCAGGGAGGAAGGGAGAGGGAGAAAGAGAAACATCAACAATGAGAGAATCATGGATCGGCTGCCTCCTGTACGCCCCCCACTAAGGATCAAGCCCACACCCAGTCATGAGCCCTGACCGGGAATCGAACCGGGACCTCCTGGTTCATCTGGTTCATAGGTTGGCGCTCAACCACTGGGCCACACCAGCCGTGCGAGGCTCTGTTTTTGGAAATTCGAGCCCAGTTAGCCTCCAGGAGCCCTTGTTTAGTAGGTGTCTTACTTCTCAGGGTCCACACACACGAGGGCCACCCAGAAACACTAGAGAGGTCGCAGTGGGGTCACGGAACCCCCAGGAGGATGGGGGCCGGAAGCAGACAACGCAGTTTCTGCCTGAGCACTGCATGCTGGGCAGGGCCAGGCGCCCTCAGTGGGCAAGTGTAACCAGGGCCGTGCTGGGCCGTGCTCCTTGGCACGGAAAGGCACGTTGTTGATACGCCGGCAGCCTGTGTGAATGGGTCTTCATGGGATCCCCTGTGTGCGCTCGTGCGTCGGATGCAGCGAAATGAAGACCCGACGCGAGGCTGCGGGTCAGGGGCTGGCTGGGCGGGAGGCGGGAGGCGGTGGGAGGGACCTGCTGTCACCTGGCTGTGATCTTGTTCTGCACTTGGGGCGATGTCACCACGGGGCCCGGATTCGGCAGGTTACCACCACCTGTCTCATCTCAGGATGAACGTTTAAGAAGATGGGGTGGGGGCGCCCCTGTCCCCCTCAGGATACTGCGAGATGAGGTGGGGGGTGGGGACAGATGGGGAGCGTCTGCCGTTCTGTCTCTCCCCTCCCTCCCTCCTCCCTTGCACGGCATCTTTGGCGCTGCAGCCCATGTCCTTGTCTAGGGGACTCCTGCGTGCCCCTCTCCTCCCCTGGCTGGGAGCGGTGGCTGAGGCCGTGAGACATCTTGGGAGCCTATGGTCGCTCTGCTCGCTGCCCTTTCTCTTCTGTCCAGCAAACAGCAAGGCTCGGGTTGGGCTGGGTGGGCTGTGGGCTGTGGGCAGGGACAGGTGCTGGGACCCTCCCCGCGGGCCTGGGTGGAGGCGCCTTTCTTCCAGACTCCGGTCTTGGGGCTGGTCCTGGCCGTGTGCGCTCCCCAGGTCCTTCTTGGTCAGTTCCTGTCCCTGCAAACCCAGGCGGGGCCTTGTAGGGCGTGTGTGACTTAGCAGAGCCTATGAGGGCCGTGGCTGACAAGGGGCACGTGGTTCCCATGCGTGTGGCCTTTAAGCCGGGAGCCTCTGGTGCCCTTTCAGAACGACAGCGCAGCCACGCGTTGACTTTCTTTTCCAGCTGATTGCAGAGGAGGGTGTGGACAGCCTCAACGTCAAAGAGTTGCAGGCGGCCTGTCGGGCGCGAGGCATGCGGGCCCTGGGAGTCACAGAAGACCGCCTGCGGAACCAGCTGAAGCAGGTGCGTGCTCGCGGCGGCTGGGCCAGGGGCATGGCCAGGAGGCC